TGACAAAATAAATATTAAAAAAAATTTCTCTCATTAGAATTCAATTAAGTTTAGTTTTAAATTAATTAAAATTTAATATAATTTTACGATATTAAAAAATTAATATAAAAAAAATTGGTACGATATTAAATAAATAAATAAATATAATATTATAAATAAATTTTTAAATAAAAAAATTAACTATATGATAATATGTGATATTACATATTTTTAATATTTCGTTTTGAAAATATGTATAGAGCGTACTTGGGCCTCCTTTTGGAGGATATGACATGAGACGCCCATATTCGATGACTTGGACTTTAAAGTCGTACAAAGTTGATGTTTGGGTATAAGCCGTATAATTGTATCTCTCTTAATCTCAGGCCGAAAACATTGGACCTCTCATTTTTTAGATTTTGGACTTCAAATTGTATATATTTGGGCTTCAGTAATTGGACCTTTTCTAGTAAAATACTAATGTAAAACGATGTCGTATAAATTTGTCCGGAGTCCTGGACCTGGAAACGCTCTTTCTGGCGGGAACTCTCACCGAACTCAAAAGGGCAAAACGGTGAGTTAAGACCCAAACTTATTCCATATTAGTATATAGGCCCCTAAACTAAAAAAATACAACTATATCCCTAAATGGCCCGTGCGTGGTCCGTCAATGAATCAATCCTCTAGCAAATTATTCTTAATGAATCAACAACGCACGTTTCGATTTATTAGCAACAATTTAGCATTTTTCAAACTTGAACAAAGTATTTTTTTACTAAGTTTAGTTTGAAAATTAAACACACTCTTATTTATATTTTTGAATATATTGATGATATTCAAATTTTAAGAATTAGATTCATTAATAAGTTCATATCATTTTATAAGTTAGGTTTAAGATTTAATTTATAAAGTTAATATTTAAAGAAATTAATTTTTAAATTTTTTTTATAATCTTGGGGATGCATCTTTAAAATAACTCATAAAATAATTAATTTTAAAATATGTACAACTTAACTCAAAAATACCCTAACTGTTTAAATAAAAAAAATGATAGCTTGAGTCCATGACACAATTAATGTTAAAATGAGGATTTTGCATCTTGCAATTCAAATCTTTTTCTTTTCTTTCAACCAACAAGAGATTATTTACATCAAATAAAAGCCACAACTTGATGCAGTGTCCATAAAATTGCCAGAAAAAAATTCTGACATCACAGTTCACAAGTTAAAAATGGGCCACTCTATGCAAGGACGAGTTAAGGGACATCATTTCAACACAAATTAGTGTTGGGGCTACTATTCTAAAAACCCTTAACTAGAAGGCCTCATTTGTAATTTTGTCAAGTATAAATATCCCCGAATTCCGAGTGGAAAAATATCCCCAAATACCCAAATTTCACTTCCTCCCGTTCTCCCCACCTCCGCACCGTGATCTCTCCGACCATTTCCTCCATCTCAGCTCCGCGCCGGAATCTATCCTGTCATCTCCTCTTTCTACTGCCGCGCCGGAATCTTGGATCATATCCTCCGTCTGGCAGCCGCGCCGGAGTCTTTCCGATTATATCCTCCTTCGCTCTTTCTACCTCTGCTCCGTGATCTCTTCGACCGAACACCTCCACCTTACTACCGCAGTGTGATCTCTCCGACCAAAACCTCCATCTTACTGCCGCATTGTGATCTCTCTGATCATCTACTCCGTCTTGTTTCTGAGCCGGATTCCTCCGATCATACTCCGTCTCTATCGCCGGTTAGTTTGAGTTGATTTCGTAGATCTTTCTTTTTCCGAGTTCAAGTGATTAATTACTGATTAGCATTACCTTCTTTTTTGTTGATAGGAGAGGCGACGTAACTTCTTGTGCAGGCCGGAATCTTTCCAGTTATATCCTCCTTCGCTCCTCTGCTCTGTGATCTCTCCGACCAACACCTCCGTCTTACTGTGGCACTGTGATCTCTCTGATCATCTACTCCGTCTTGTTTCCACACCGGATTTCTCCGATCATATCTCCGTCTCGATCTTTTGCCTGTGCGTTCGAGTTAATTTCGTAGATCTTTCGTTTTTCGAGTTCAAGTGATTAATTATTGATAAGCATTACCTTCTTTGTTGTTAATAGGAGAGGCGACATTACTTCTTGTGCAGAAAAACTTCTTTTCTGTTCTTGACTCGTGCGCTGGTAAGTTTTCTTGCTCTTTAATTAATTAATGCTTTATTAACTCGATTAACTTCTACTCTGTTTTGGTAACAGAGTAGTACAAAAAGTTGGATTTAAACAAAAGTGTAATCAGATTATCAATTAAATAAATTAGATTAAATAAATGATAGAGAAAATATGCATAGAATGTATTATTTTCCCTTTAATATCTAATTAGTTGTATTAAGCATTTAGTTACCAAAAAGAAGTTGCGTTAAGCATTCCATCTGTTTATATTATTGCTATTATTATTATTATTTTACATTGTTCAATATTAACTCTATAATCATGCCAAAGTTGGCATGATTAATAAGTAATTTAAGCCTATACTAATGCTTGTAATTATTATCTATGATTTGGATGGTCTATTCTAAGGCCTGAAGCCATGTTTGGGATAATCAGGCAAG